CCCCAAGCAATTTTGAAGGATCCTAATGGGTATATTATTCTATATTTATGATCTTTGATTTTTCTTTTTATTATTATTACTACTTTTTTTTTTTTTGTGTGTTTTAGTTCTTCATTTTGCTACACAACTACTAAAAGTCTAAAATGCATTGAAGAATGCGGTTATTCATAGTTTATTAGCTAGCTTTCTTTGGTAATCCAAAGCTGCAAGGTTAATGTGACCTTATAACGACTAAAGGCAAAACATAGTACGTAACAGGATAGATATACAACATTCAATTATTTAGCTTCGACACTTTTTGTAGAATAGGATTAAATAAATTATGGTGATTTGGAGAAAAACAGAAACAAGAATAGAATGTGAATAAAAACTATAAGCATCTTTCAAAGTTGTAACAAATTCCCTCATAAATGGTTCTCATTGAGATGAGTATGCTTAACAAACACCCCTTTCAAAATTGTGCATTTGTGCTCGCTTCTCTTGGAGCCGAAGACCTCCCGGTGTAGGGCTCGCCAAATCCAAGGCGCCTATGTCGTTGCGCCGATGTGTGTAGATAATGCGCACATTTCATTAAACACAAGGGTGAGGCGTAATTTACCCATTATTTTTTTAAGAAGGTATTTCAAGGAATTTCCTCGTATTATCATGATACAATCATACAGATGGTGGGTTGATGTAGGGAAGCGTGAACGAATGGGAATAATAGAACGAGATACTCTCTCGATAAAACACAAAACTCAAATATAATAAAATAAAAGGAAAAATACTAATAGGAAATAAAAAGAAAAATACTAATAGGAAATAAATAATCTAAATACGAAGCCTATCATATTTATTTAGAAACGAAATCGCGGTCTTGTCTCCATCATCCTCTCCCGGTTGAGAAGGATTCGGCCGCGAATCCGAACCGGTCTCGTCTCCGTCAAAGTCAAAGCAATGCAAAGGGGCCAAATGCGATATGTGAAAAACATTCGACGAAGGCACATGAGAAGGTAAGTGGAGACGGAAGGTATCCGACGAGAGCCTATCAACGAAGGCCAATCTAACCATCCGACACGGATTCAGCCCACACAAAATTTCCCACTTCAAAAACCAATGATCGATCATCCAACGACCCACAGAACTCCACACATGGCCCGGAGCCAGAAAGGAATAATGCCGGTGACCCTCGTGACAAAGGGAACCCACGGAGAGTCGACGGGTGTAAAACAATGCGGACGCCCTCATGTAAAAACTCATAGGTGTTAAGCCAGCCATCGTGAAGCACAGACCTATCAAACTGCCAAGGACGGCCCAATAAGAGATGTCAATCATCCATAGGCACTACATCACGCCAAATCTCGTCCATATATGCGGAACCGACTGAAAAAGACACCAACACGCGACTATCGACATTGACATCATTAGCCCGTTGTATCCACGCAAAAGAGTAAGGATGTGGATGTGACTCTGTCAACAACCCAAGCTTTGCTAGTGCCTCCTTGGAGATCACATTGTCGCTGGCACCCGAATCAATCACAAAACGACAGACCTGGCCACCAATGGTGCGCGTGGACTCAAATAGCTGATGTCGTAAGCTCTCTTTCTCGGGAGATAAGTGGGGCGACAAGAGAGAGACGAAGGACCAATGCAGTACCAACGTCCCCTGAAACATGAACCACAGGCACCTCCGGCTCCTTATCGAAAGTAAGAGGACCATCATACTCGCCCGACCCGGGCTCCTCAATCAGCAAAGCCCGTGACCCTTTCGCCTTGATGCATTGCGCTGGCGATGTCCCGGTTCGCCACAAGTGAAGCAGCGAAGTGCGACAGGCAGCCGCCCGCTGCCCCCAGTCGAGGGGCCAACTCCACGCCCTTCTGAAGTCATGCCAACACCCGGTGGAAGAGTCGACGGAGTCGGTGCCGTAGACGTCCCAATCATCCCTTTTGTCGAGGTCCCAAAAGACGAGCCTGCCTTTCGAGCCTGATGTTGTTCGACCAACAAAGCCCGTTGATGCGCATCAGAAACTGTATCAGGAATAAACATATTGAGTGTATCCTGGATAGCAACACGTAAGCCACCCACATATCTCGACACCAATAGGTCCATCGTCTCACGAACCTCCACACGAGTCAAGAGGCGATAAAAGTCCTCCGTATATTCATCAACGGAACGTGCCCGAAATTTAATCCAAGTCGCGATTTTCGGCTTGCCCAAACGATGTCGCAACCACCAAGCCTCCGCACGCCCGCGAAGCCTAGTCGCGACGACCGCGACACGCCGATCATCTGGGACCTCCTTATACTCTAGCACGGACTCGACCGAAGCCCACCAATCCAGAGAATACGCAGCATCTAGCCCACCCGAAAACTCGGGAATCTCGACCCGAAAACCTTGCTCCCAGCGTGAGTCGCCGCCGGCCTCCATCCCACGGCAAGGACGCCACTGCAGGCCATGGCACGCGTCCCCGCGGCGGAAATCCCGCTGTAGCTGGTCGTCCTCCGGAAAGACCCAGGCACGCCGTTGCTGTCTGCCGGCGTCAAAGGCCTGTCTGTCGCCTTCCCGGTCCCAGCCGCGACGTCTTTGTCCGCCACCATTGGGGAACCAGTCGCGGCGCATCTGGTCATCCGCATGGACGCGACGGTGTTGTTCGTCGAGGCCCACGTCGGCACGATCGTTGCCCCAACCACTGGCGAAACCCTGGTCGTCGCGCCGCCACCCGCGATGTTGCTGGTAGTCACCGTCGGGATCGTCGCGGCCCCTCCATTCGAAGCCTGCTCCGCCACGGTCGAAGCCCAAGGCCCCGCGCCTCGGAATGCCGCCGGCAAAGTCCTGACTCCCCTGCCCGTTGAAGCCGCCCTCCTCGTCACGGGGACGCTGCAACTCCGCAAACGGGTTAACCATTGAGACGGTGACCTCGTCATCTTCATCGCCAGACGGTAGTTAGGGCGATCGCTGGCGGAGCGCCCCGCCTAGACCACGACCACCACGACCACCGTGAAACCCCCCGCGCACACCTCGGTCGCCGGCGTCACGGTTCGTTTGCAACTCCTGGACCACGTTGTTTAGCACCAATCGTAAATCTACGATCCCCGAAGAAAGACCCTCAAATCGTTCCATGAAACGCTCTTCTTGCACGAATCGATCGTTGATTTGTTGAAACCGTTCGTTGAATACTGCGTCCTGTTGATCATTTGCAGTATCTTTTTCTGGAGGCATCGTTGAATCGTACTGACTGCTGATACCAACTGATGTAGGGAAGCGTGAACGAATGAGAATAATAAAACGAGATACTCTCTCGATAAAACACAAAACTCAAATATCAGAAATCTCCTTCAAATTCAACCATCTGACTACGGTAGAGATGAGATAAATATATAGAGTACTACTTATTTTGCCTAACAAGTTAGACTAGATATTTATTTACTTATCAACCATAATAAAATAACTATGGTAATAAAATAAAAGGAACAATACTAATAGGAAATAAACAATCTAAATACGAAGCCGATCATATTTATTTAAACGAAATTGCGGTCCGGTCTCCATCATGGGTGGTGTTAAGAGAAGATACATAACTACCAATCTGAGGAGAGGAACAAACTCACTTCTTCCTTCCATCTTAAACGCTCATCCACGATATGGTCCATAGTTATTTGGCTGTTCCATTTCCAAAATGGACTCACACTTTCCCATCACATTATTCAACTCCCGGCACCCACCGCCGCTCCACAGCAAGGGCTTCGAGATTGAAGGCTCTGTCGTCAATGATTGACGATGATGGGTCTTTGGAGCAGTTTCTGCGCAACAATTCCATATCTGATTTCATGAGGTTGAAGAGGGGTCGCTCCTCCCAGTTGCAGACTGCTATTGTTAGCTATCGCAAGAAGTTCCCTTGGTCCCTCTCTCACCCCTTTCTGCGAGTAAACCAGATTCTATTTCTTTTTTTTTT